ATCGATTCATCGTCGTGCATGTTTTAACGTTTTCGAACAATTTTTAAGACGGCCATTCTATAGAGTTTATTCGTATAACGTGTCGACTTTTTATTTTCATTAAATCTCGCGTTTTTTCGATATTAAAGCGCGGAGGAGTGCGCAGTCGTTATGATAATAATCGATAACGACGATAAACGGTTTCGATAAGACGACGTTTAAAAACGAGGCGTCAATATCAACGCGATTTCCGATGAAAAGAACATAACGTATACGATTTTTCAGCGCCCCCACCCCCCCCTCGGAAAAACGTCGAAAATCCGCGGGCACGCGTCGGCAGTCGCGCCCGGCCGGTGTGAATTTCGCGACTGTCGCGACAGCGTACACACGACGGCCGTTTGCAAACTGTGGACGTAACGATGACCCACGACACGCGAAAAATGCATTGCACGTCACGGTTATTTACCGGTCGTGCACATGCACGGGCTGTTATATTTTTTATGCGACGACGACGCGCGACAGTCTCGTTTGCCCGTCGGATTCCCACTTGAAAACGATTCCGTTTCGACGCGTTTATAAATGATGGCAATATACTCGCCGTACCGTTATAATGATATTCGAACGCGTTATTCAATTATTGCGCGTTTGGTCGGCGTTTTTTTTTTTTTTTCGTTTTTTATTTAACGGACCGCATTCTCGCGACCGCCAGTAGTCGCGCGGTGATAAACGGGGAAGCTCGGAAACTGTCTCGATACAATAATCAAACATCTCGGGGGCGGGGGATTTCTTTGTTCAGCATCGGTATGTCACTGCGGTATACCGGCGGCGGTGCACGTCCGGCGCGTGTCTCGCTAATTGAAAACGCGTTTTATCTTTTTTTAATATTACGCCCGCGCATATTAATATTTTTATGTTACGAACAAAAAAAAAAAAAAAAAAAAACAGTATCGTTAGAACCGTATCAATCTAAAATATAATACGGCGGCGATTGTATAACGGAGGGGGGATGGGGAGGAACCGATATACCGACACGATATAACAATTTAATGTATTACGAGAATGACGAAACCCAATACTGTTGTTATTAATTACAACCGTAATGTACGGAAATCGTTCGGGAAGGGAAACGCGTTACATCACGGGTACGGTTTTCTCGCTTCCCGTCCGCCCGCTCGAAACGGACGTGCCGTAATACGGTCACGGGAAGTATTAGAATAACTCAGTTCATTTTTTTCCGAGCGTTTGATTAAACATTTGTTTTTTTTTTCCCGCCCCCTGATTTTCCAGGATCGAACATGCCACCGGGCGTCGCAACGTCCCCCAGCTCGATGACTTCGGGCTACGCAGCCTGTTCGTTGCTGAACGCGGACCGACAACAACCGCCGTCGGCGGACCACCGGAACGACAACATGATACTCCGAGCCGCGTTTCCCGAGACCATGGATTCGCTTCGCGTCGGGATCGCCGGCAGCGTCAGCGGCAGCAGCTGCAGCAGCAGTAGCAGCAGCAGCAGCAGCAGCAGCAGCAGCAGCAGCGGCAGTAGCGCGGAGACCGCCGAACTCTCGGACAAAGATCAACTCCAAGTGCGATTGTGTTACAACGGCTTGAAAACGCAGGTATACACAGACCTATAAATCCTCATCGTACGCCGGTATTATAAACGTGAAAGTCCGTTTGTTTTTTTTTTTCCCCCCCGTTCCTTCTTCTCCGGCCGAACCACACGCCACTGGACGCATCGAAACTTTGCGCGCGGACGTATACGGTTCTAAACCAGGAGAGTAATACGCGGACTGCTTCTCCGACCCCGCCTACCCCACGCCCCCCTCCACGATTCAAACCCCGAAATATGGTAGACACTAAAAGTGACAATTATTAACTGTCGGTATTTACGGGTTAAAAAAACGCGGAAAAAATGCGTCGTTTTAAGTCAATAACTCCTTTGTTACACTCCGTACGAGTCCCCGACCGCATTTTTCCGAATTTTTTTTCGGAAATCGAAAAAAACGTTTCGAAACGGGTATCGCCGGACGGAAAATCCGCGTCTTTCGATGCGATTTCGAAACCGGACAACACTTGTACGACGTTCCCCGCTCCGCCCGGCTCTGCAATGAAATCGTAACGGCTTTTTTTTATTATTATTATTATTTTTTTTTTTTTTATCTTCGCATACCTTCGCGCCGTTACTATAATGCAGATGACTGCGAGAGTTTCAAACGTATAAACACACACTTGCCTATACAGATACACGTACATGCATTTAGGTCTGGGCGAGTAATCAAAGACGGATTTGCGCGGTGTTGACCGTTTATTTTATAGACACGCGGACCGTCGCGGATCCATTAAAGAGCGATTTTCGTTTTTTTTTTTTTTTTTTTTT